ACCGCTGCGATCATTGCTTCGCTTGTCAGGCCGTCGAAAGCGTGCTGGCTGATGCTGCCGTCGCCGCAGTCGTACCAGGATGGCCGAAGCGCGCGGTGGCCATTATCGCCACGTCGAGGTTTGAAGACGTTTTCTCCCTTCTATCTGGTTCGAAGGTCAAGCAAGCAGCCGAATCCGACTGCTTCTGGGGGACGGAGGTATGAGGAAATGTGCTGCTGAAGGCCCTGGCCTAGGGTGACCAACTCATCCCGGTTTGCCAGGGATCTTTTCTGGTTTAGCACGGAAAGTGCTGTGAGTCCCAGCCTCCAGGGGCTCGGGCCACTCTCCAAAGCAGGAGTGCCGTACATACTCCAACAGGGCTGCCTCTGAGGTTGCGCACTTGATAGTAAGATGTGGAGAAGAGAAGACATAACTGTATACCCCACGAACGTTGTTCTGCTCGTCTTAGGCAATCGAAGGAATATGTTCAGAACTTTCTTAGAGCCATACCTGTTTGAGAGGTTTGCTTATTCACAATGGACTTGGGGACTAGCTACAAATCTGGGTGGCTTGTGACACTCTCTTTTCCGCCGTGTTATTTTTTTCTTGCTTACGAATACATCCCCTGATTCCCGATGCTCCTTCTGGGGAATTCATTGCTGCACCCACTTTTCTGTTTTCTCGTAGCCTTTACCTGCCCCCAGGAAGGTGGGGTGGTTGGTGCAGGTCCTGCTCTGACATACCAGAACAGAACATGGCACTTTGGCTAGTCCAAAAGTTAGTGTCGCTGTTACCATTTTCAGACATGCTGAAAGCATGACCAGGTGAAAATGCAAACAGGAGACCGTGCAGGCTCCTGTGACTGCCATAGTCACCTGCGGGCTGCACCGCGAGGGAGGCCCTCCCAGCAGGCGAGTGAGGGTAGGGGTGGCTTTACCTTGTCGTGTGGGTTACTGCCTCTGATCCAGCAAGCTGGCTTCCCACAGAACAGCAGAGAAGGGCCAAGAATAGGCATGGAGGACACATCAGGGTAAGTGGTCAATAATTCTCTGTAAGATAAACCAGTGACTTGTTTTCCCTGAGGCTGTCACGGTCGTGGCATGAAAATGGTTGCCTAGAAGTCTAGAAACATGGCCAGCTCTGCCCTGCCATGAACTCTAATCTGCTGCACTCTGGCTCAGCTTCCTCCTGATCCACTCCTCTAGGTGGGAGGCTCTCAGTCACACAACAGACTCTTTTAAGCCCTCTGCCAGGGTGGCTCAGAGTGCACAGGAATACACAGGCTCTCCAAGCCAGCGCCATTCCCTGTGCACGGCAGCGGGAACGGCTGCAGGGCCCCATCCAACCAGCAAAGGAACATCTCGGAAATCCCCATTAGGAGTCGGTTGTTGGGAAGGAACAGGTGGCAGTAGAAAAGCCAGCGTGGGTGCTGGAATGGCTAGAGGAGGGGGTGGCAGCCACTAGAGACAAGCTGGGGTGGAGGCACCTTGATGTCAGGGAGGGAAGCTTGCCCTTTAACACAGTGGGTGCTGGAGGACTCTTCAAGCTCTCTCCCTAGGGTGCAGGCTCCACTCACAAGCACGTGTCTTCAGAGGAGCTTTCCTGGGCCCTTGCAAACACTGTATAGTCTTCCACCGTAACCGCCGAGAAGGGCTGCCCTCTGCCTACCACCTCCAGGCCATCAATGTCCTCAGAGAGACCGAGAAAGGGAAAGTGAGCTGACTGAAGACAGGTACCACCATGAGGGGCTTCAGACTGGGGTGCGGAGGCATCACCAACCTGCTGGCTAAAGTCCAGCTCTGCCAGGATGCTCTGCAGCTCCTTGCGTCGGTAGATCAGAAACAGACTCCGGTCCCAGGTGTGGCGGTACCAGGCATCCCTCTGGGCTGGTAATCCTAGAGTGGGGTCCAGGGACCCTCAGCACAGGCTGCTGCCATGTCTCCTTCCCCACCTACTTCTCAAGGGCTCTGAGAGCACCCATCCCAGCACCTTTGCTAAGGATAATGAAACATGTAGCTTCTCCGTGGCAGCTAGACTGCAGTTCTCCTGCCCCATACCTCCTCTGCAGCCCCACATGGACTCCTGCCAAATCAGCTTCCAAGCAGCCAAATCTTTGGATTGTAATAAAAATAAAAGCAGCTACTTTTTACTGAGTGCTTACCAATGGGCCAGAACCTCTTAATACCTTGTATGTCTCATTTAACTTTCTCAAGACCCCATGAGTATTTTACAGATGGGGAAAAAAAGGGCCACAGGGGTTCACAAACCCAACACAGCTGGGACCCCAACCCAGGCAGTCTGGCAGGCTCTAAAGCAGTGCTGCCCGGTAGAAATATACTGCAAGCCACAATACAAGCCACGTTGAAAAAGGTAAGAAGAAATAGGTGGGATTCATTTTAGTAATATAGTTTATTTAACTCAATATATCAGAAACATCATTTCTACATGTAATCAATATAAAATTATTAATACAACATATATTTTTCATACTGATCTTTGAAATTCAGTGTGTAGCTGACACCGACAGCACATCTCCACGAAGACCAGCCACATCCCGGGTGCTTGGGAGCAGCATGTGGCCAAAGGCTGCCACACTGGACAGCACAGCTCTGGTGCCCGTGATCCAACGTTCTTACCATTTCTAGAACCATTTTACTGAAGAGGGAACTAGCCCTCAGGAAGGTTCTGGGATTTGCCTGATGCCACACTGGACCAGGATTTGGTCCCAGCTCTGTCTCACAGCAGAGTCCTGCTGGTCACCACCACACTGCCCCACCCCCTAGGCCAGGCTCGAGATGCCAGCTGGTTTGCAGCCCTGTGCCTCACCTGTCTCCTCCTTGATGGAGCGGGGCTTCCTGATGTGAATGATTGGCTCCAAAAGGCCACGCTCAGTTTTTGTCTTGGTCATGACCAGACCTGTCATCTCATCTCCCAAGTATTCCAGTTGACTCCAGAAGCCACTGGTCTCCGGGACCTGGCAAGGAAGGACAGGTGAGTCAGATACCTGGATACCTCGGCTAGATACCAGGGGACATGGGAAGACAAGAGCAATACAGATTCCCGATGCTCCTTCTGGGGAATTCATTGCTGCACCCACTTTTCTGTTTTCTTGTAGCCTTTACCTGCCCCCAGGAAGGTGGGGTGGTTGGTGCAGGTCCTGCTCCGACATACCAGAACAGAACATGGCACTTTGGCTAGTCCAAAAGTGGAGTCTGAGCTACGTAGGGGACAATGCCAAGACTATTCTAAAAACTCAGCACCTGTGATATCCTTCTTCTCAAACTGACCACCAGCAGCCACCACAGGCCGAATTACTTAACTAACCAGTCCCTGAGCTCCAATAACAGGACTGTATAACATAATTAGTAAAGGCCTCAAGGACTTTAACAAGCTTTGCAAATGGACAGATTTTCTCCCCCAACGTGCAACTATCACGGGACAAATGCTCGTTTCTCGGTGTCAATGACCCGCCCCGGAGTCAACAGGGCACTCTAGGGAACATGCTGCTCCTCACTTTCCTGTCCCGCTGTGCTGGCAGGTGCGTCAAGAAGCTGGCGCTCCTCCTGGATGTGCCGGCTTAGGTCTCTCCGCTGGCATCGCAGCTCGCCGATCCGGCTTCTTCAGGGTGGCTCTATGAGAGAGACGACGCGAGGGGATGCCTCTCACTCGCAGATCACCACAAACTGGCCTCGGGCACCCTGCACTGGCGCCCGCGTTCTCGGGGGGCTGATTTTGGACCACTGTGGCTTATGAGCAAGAAGCCCTGGGGGAGCGGATGGCACATAAACTGTTTGGTTTTCCAGTCCCAGGCCATGCTCTGGGCAGGTGGTGAGGCAGAGCCCTGTTCGCCAGATGGGGCCCCAAGGCGGGAGCCCGCCCACTGGCTCACTGGCTGAAGAAGACTTTTTGCTTTGCTTCTTTCGCATTGACCATGTTCCGTGCCAGTTGGCTTCAGAAAGTTGTGTCTGAAGAGGGCGGAGCCCAGGGAGGCTCTTCTCTTCTTCTGGGGCTTGGGCCTCTGTCTCTCTCTAGGCTGAGATGAGGGTTCAGCAGAAGGGCGAGGTGGGTATCAGCTCGGGCCAGCTGCAAAGTCAAACACAGGCCATGTGCGGGCGGTGAGGAGGCCCGAGCGGGGCCGGGCGGAGATTTCAGAGCCTAAGCCTGCCGCCTGTTCCCATTCCACCGAGGAATCCCTCCCCTTCAGGATCTCAGGGGTGGCATTTGTGACAGAAGCAAATCACAGAACCAGGGGGCGTGAAAACTGCTGTCAGTCTGTCCCCCAGAGAGAAACTTTTGTTCTAGATCATGGTAACATCTTTCAGTGTGCTGTCCTTTCAAAACACTAAATCCCCAACTGGTGTTAATCAGCACCTTCACCCACTTTCACCCAGAGTGACTCAGCCTTTTTTTTTGGGACTGTTGGGTCTCGCTTGTGGCCCAGTGGTAGGGTGCGGAGTGCTCGTCATAGCTCACTGCAGGCCTCAAAACCCTGTGATCAA